AAAATCAAAATGCCTTTCTTACAAAGATTGACCTAGATCCACCAGAAGATCTAAACTTGAAAGAGGAAAAAAATAGAATAGATTCTTACAGACCTTTGTATCAAGAAATCACTGAAATTTGGACTTCTGGTTAGGCGTCATGGCATGACGAGCGCAGGAAGATGGGCTCCGTCTTCCACATTCAATTTCACCCTGCTGGGGACCCTAAAAAGGGTTGAAAGTTGCCCCAGAGAGATAACGAAGAAGGAGGGGACCCTCGTTGATCGCAGAGGGGCGGTGTCCCTTCCGCTGGATCCGAGGAAGTCCTCCAAACTGGTGGGAGAAAGACTAACTACATTCGTGTGGCCAGTCAGAAGCTGCTGACAACTGAAGATAAGCACTAACTAGCAATTTTTGAGCAATGTGGATGGAACTGGGTGAGACTTTATCCTCTTTTTATGATCTTAATACTACTTTCCTGGAAAAAAGAATGCCCAAAGCAAAGAATCCTCCCCAATGAGAAAGGGAAGGGAAGTTTTTGCTCCCTCCCTCAGGAAAAAGAAAAGTGGCGAATTAATTGCTTTGGGGGAAAATAAAGAAAACTACAAGATCAATTTGGAATTAGTATAAATATATAGCTTTGAAATTTGGGGACTAAAAGTATCTTTGAAACTTTTTTTAGAAAAGATATTTGAAAGTCTATAAAATAGGCTTGGATTTGGAAAGCTGGAAGACGGTGTCAACGACATCTAGTGGTGAATCAAGGCACTACAATTTATTATACTTAAAGGAAACTTGGCTTGAAGCCTGTACTTAGATCAGACTCTTTGTTGTTCATGGAAACTTTCACTTTTGCAGACTGCAGCTGGGAAAAGGGGAAAAAAACTGTTGGGCTGCTTATCTGTGTTGGGGACCCTATTGGACTGTAAAGACTACATACAAAACCAAAATGGGTGTTCCATACTCAAATGGTAAAAAACCATCTTTAACACTTGTTTCCGAAGTCTTCAGCTTGATATACCAACAAGAAAATGTTAATGAATCTCAGAAAGAAATTCTATATTGAAATCAATCCAAGAGACAATTGTTTTATTTCATGATGAGACTAAAAATAACGCAAATGAGATAAAAGAACAATTTTCTAACCTGAACTTACAATTCCAGAGAATGGCTACAAAGAAGGAACTAATAACACAGAAAACAGAAAGAAAATTAGAAGAAACAGATCCAAAGATGGAGAACCTAAAGGAAGGAATTAACAGACAGATACAGACAAATGAAAAATTAGAAGATGCAGTGATAACACCGGAAATGGAAAAGATATCTTACTTGTCAAGATCTCGGAACATATTTGAGGATAAGGAAGAAGAGCTGATCGAACAGATGATAAAGCTATTAGGAGAAATGCTGAATATTGACAAACAAGAAATGAAAAAAAAAACTGAAGGACGGAGGCTCTTTAATGAATATAAATGGGTTGAGTGTTCTTCCAAAAATAGTTCAATCAAATTTTCTTCCTCATTCCAAACAATATATACAAAAACAGAGAAAGAATTACTTGAGGATTCAAATGCATTGACTTGGAAAGTTATTTGGCAAAGGAAGAAAGCTAAAACTGAAGAAAATAGAGGTTTTGGCCTGTTAGATGGGATATTATACTATTAAACAGATGTTTCAATATGGTTAAGAAAATAGATAACTGTTAAAAATAAAAGTATTATTATAATTAAAAAGATAGGATTTGTAAGTAGAATATTTCTCAAGGTCCTAGTTGCTGGTTCAGATTCCATGTCAGAACAATGATATGCTCTATAGTACAGTTCTATACCAAGAACACTGAAAAATGGAGATGCTGGATTAACAAATTATGAAAAAAAGTTATTTGAGCAGAGACTCCTTAGTCTTGAAGGATTAAAAAAAGTATGGGAAAATTTACTGCATCCAAGCACCTCATTTAATTTGCCTAAGTTTATTTTTCACGTGATTGTCTGATTCCAATATTTTCTAGGCAGCCAAGGAATAGCATTGCTGAATGATGCAAAGATTTGTTTGCTTGTTTGTTTATTTAGTTGTTCTGTTAAGGTTTTCTTTTCTTCTTTCTAAAAGAAGAATACAGCAGCAGTAAAACAATTCTTCCAGTAGAGTGCTGTAACTTTTCTGTACGATTGTATAAATTTCTGTTATGGAAGTATCTGAAGGGAGACAGAGAGTTCAAATGGTTAATCTGTGGCAGGCATATAAAAAAATGGTTTTGAAAAAAGACTACAGTGACAGTTTTGGTTGCAATCTCATTAGAGTTTTCTTGATAATTTGAACAGTCAATGTGGGTGTACCTGACATGATCAGTCAACTAAATATATGGAGATGTGAACTTGGGTATTAGCTGATAAGGGGAAACAAAATCCTACAGTTACTGATAATTTAATTCAAATTTTTGAGTATGCGATTGTTTCTGTCACAGAAGATCTGAAAGTACAACAGGATGATAGGCTAACACAGAAATATTCTCCTTAATTCAACTCGGGAATTAGGTATAAGTAATTCTTTTTGGGATACTTGCATGCCTACCCCAGGATTTCCATTATGAATGAATTTCTTCCTATAAGGACACCCATGAGGGTATTCATGCAATCAAGGTAGAAAAGTAAATGTTGATAACATCTAGCATTGCTTTGAGCTTCCTGTGGACTTATTGAAACCAAAGCTTGTTCAGTCGTTCTGGCAAATCAGTGTAACTGTTGTCTAGACAGGTTTTCCTTTCTGAAGAAAACAGAATGGCTGAAGCTTTTCTTCTTCACAGCAATCAAAGATTTCCCTTGATTGTTATTTTTAGCTGCAAGCATTTTGTTTCATCCAAGTTCTGAGAAATTTGCTATCAATAGATGAAGAATTGAACAGTTGTTTGGTAAAGTTTGGAAGTAAAATCCCACAAACTCTGTAGCTGCTGTACTAATCTTTTAAGGGGATTTCATGTTGATGTGGTAGTTAAAACACTGAGCTAAAAACCAGGAAATCACAAGTTCTAGGCATGAAGCCAGCTGTATGACCTTGGGCCAGTCACTCACACTTAGCTCCAAGAAGCACACAGTGGCAAATCGTTTCTGAAAAAACTTGTTAAGAAAACTACTGGTTCCAGTCCAGGCAGTTGCCAGCAGTTAACAAAGGCAGGCACAGACACACATTCAAACACACACAAACACAAACACACACACACACACACACACACACACACACACACACACACATATTCTACAATGATTTTATATGACTTTTCCTATTGCCTTTCTTTCATATGTTCTTTTTTCTACTATTTTGGGTAGAGTTAAAAAAATGTGCACATTCAATTCCACAGTTGTATCAGAATAACTTATCAGGGCAAGAAATATTTGCAGCAGTACTAATGTATTATATACTTTGTCTACATCTCTGATATTGAACATGTACGTTGGTCAAGTAGGAGCAACATCAGATTATTGCAATTATTCCTTCTGTTTGAAGTTCCAGCGAGCCCACAGTATATTCCACCTCTCTCTCAAATAATAGAGTCTGTGCCCACAATGTATATGTAATGGGCTTCTCAAGATCCAGGAAAGGAGATGGCAGTTTGCAAAATATTAAGGATCAGGACATCAGAGAAAGCAGCAGCATGTTCTCCACTGCTGAAGTTTGCAAGAGGATTGGCGAATCCCAGCCCACATAAACTTAAGTGATAAATGGGTTGCTAAAGAATGCGTAAATAGTTTCTAAAATTCTGTAACCTAGTCCTGTTTTTTCTTTCAATTAAAACTGGCTTATAAATCTCTGTGAGAATCTAACTTTTTTAGCTGCAAGAAGTTGCTAAAGGCTTGACAGCACAATCTATTTTACTGATCTGTTGGTTTCTGATTCTTTCTGCCCATTTTTTCCTTAAAGGTCTATTCCCCCTCCCTCCTTTTTTTAAATAAAATGTATATCACTATCATATTGATAGTGCCCAGCCTTAGGATAATCTGGAAAGGAAGTTTCATTCTTCTTTCTCTAAAAAAATGGAAGCCAGGTGGAATTGTGAGATAGTCTGTATAATGTAATACAGAATACACTTTGGTCACACTACCAGCATGAGTAATGTAAAATTTGAACCAGTTAAAAATGGAATCCAAAAATGGACAACTTCAACAATGTGTTTACAATGGTATAATGGTAATAGTTAAGCTTAGATAACAGATTCCTTCAGAACAGCTTCTCTTGATTTATTGTTACCTAGATATTGTTCATTTTCTCATGATCTCCAATTATCACTGGTTATTTTAGTAGGCACTGAGGTAGAGCGACCGATAATTTAAGATTTTTCAACTAGTACATTCTCCTTGGCTGCTTTAATAAGGTAAAAATTAGCAAACACCAAGAAAATCTTGACTCTTCAAGATCTCCAGGATTTTTGATTGTATCATTAGGCATACAATATGAAGAACTAAATAATTGGCATGTGCCAATCCTTACTAAAAGAAGGTATTATCCATTTCTTTTAGGGCATTCCATTTCAGCTATGTATAGGTGTGATTCCCTCTGCTGCTCTTACATTATGTACTTTAATCTCCCCTGTTTGATTAGGGCCTTTAGAGCAGATAGGACTCCTGAAGAACCCTGCCTGCAAGCATGCTCTTTCAGAGAAATGTTAGACGGGAGCTGGTAGGTTTGTGTGTAGGATCGAAGTGTCCCCCTTAATCTTACTTACGACTAATACATGTCTGCATGATTATGGCAAGGATAATATTGAGATTAGGGAATGTACAGTGAGAATGAACTGTTATATAAATTATTTACCATGCTTTCCCCAAAGGTGGGTATTTCTCAGATTCCGATTTTCAGATGAGCTATTAATTCCCATGTTTTCATGAAATGTAGATTTGAAAGTCAGAATCCACAAGCACAATAAAAACGCCCCATAGCTTATGGATTCTAGATTCCCAAAAATAACGGAAGTGATGAGAACCATCAGGATGATTAAAAAAACATACATTTTTTATTATCTCCTTTTGCAGCTGTCATGTCAAGAAGCCAAGAAGGACCAGGCGAGATGGGAAAAGCAGTTCTCATTCCCAAGGATGATCAGGAAAAAATGAAAGAGCTTTTTAAAATCAACCAATTTAATCTTATGGCCAGTGACATGATTGCATTCAATCGAAGTTTGCCTGATGTAAGATTAGAAGGGTGAGTTGATGTATAGATCTTGGCATTTAAGTGCTTTTTTTAATATTTCCATATTTGGTTATATCAAAATCAATCCATTTGAGCTCATGGGAATTCTGGGCAATCATGCTCTGAAATGCTACATAAATGTTTTGAATTTCATAACTGTGGTATTGGCATATTTACCATGTATGAATCATGATATATCCATGGGGGGGAGGGGGGGGGGAAATATGAGCTGGATATCAAAGCCTGGTCTGAATCTTGTGCTACAAGAAACGAACGAATGAATAATCTTGAATTCAAGCACTAGATTGCCAGATAGACATTGCTAGTACTGTATGTCTGGAAAAAAACAAGCATTAGGCATATGAATAGAGTTGCTCAGAAAATGCATATCTGCAGTATAAAAGCTATATAAACTAGGGAATATATGTTGTTTACAGAATTGTGGACAGATAGGCTGTCTTATAGGAGATAAGGAAACCTGCAGGGAAATTATTGATGGAAATGAATGTAAATATTTCATATGGATTCGGAGTGCAGCGCAGGTATACAGAGCTGAAAATGGTAATGAGAATGTGTGTTGATTATCTAAACTGATAGGGGGACAGGGGAAGACAGGTTCCTGTTGGTGTGTTTTGTACTTTGTGCTTCCGCTGGCACAATGATAGAATGCAGATGAGTACCTAGACTCTTGTTGAATATATTTGCAAGAGAAAATAGATATAGGCGAACAATACCTCTAAAATTAACTAACCTGTCAAAGTTCTACTTTATATTTGAAAGATGTTTTCTGAAAAGGGGTTTAAATGCCTTCAGTTTTGAAGTCTTTTCCTACTCCATCTCTGTGGTTGATATAATGGCCTTGCCTTTGCTGATGCTTTTCACCTAGAAGATGCCACTGCTATAACAGCTGCAAGTTTCCATGCTTTTGATATTAAGAAATACTGCTTCTTCTGCTACCGCTCTTACAAACGGTGGGAGCTCTGCATTTGCACTGTAATTGTTCTAAATACTGAAACATTATTACTGAATATAAATGTTTATAGAATAAGGGATTGGCTATGCTGAAATTTCTATAAATGTGAAATCCAAGGCCAATTTATGTATGGATCCATTGTGCATTCTGAAGTGTAGTATCAGTATTGTCAAGCAAAGCAATAACCCTCTTTGTTCACACTGATATTCTTATATAAGATCAAAGTACTTGATCCCATCCATAGCTCTTGAGTTCTGTAAACAGCTAACAGACAAATAAATTAAAATACGGAGTCCTCAATTACAGTTATTCCATTTCTAAACAGCTTGATGGTATTTTGCTTCTGTCTTGTAGCCTTTATTTTTTACATTTTAGTTTTAACCTAATAACACAGGATTTTAAGAGTGAAAGATTAAAAATATGTAATGGTTACCTTCCATTTCATCCCAGATGCTTTGTGGCAGAAAGGTGATATTCTATTCATATTTTATTTCCTTTTTTTTAATCCATGTTTTGATGTTTTCAAAACCAGGTGTATAAAGGGTACTATTCAGTAGAGTAGATGGAGATGGATTTGCCAGATGGAAGCTTTTCTAGATCTGAAATGCATCACTTTGCAGCCTTCACCCCAAATGTGGTTGAAGTAGCTCTGAGTAGTGTGCTTGTGAAACTCTTTCAGCAGTGTATTTCCCATTTTTGTACATGGGAAAGGATTGTTTTGGATGCTCCAAGTTTCTTTTTTTAAATAGAGAAACTTTTAAATAGATAAAAGAGAAAGTAATGCAAACTAAAAAGGAAAAAAAAGAAAATGCAGAAAAGAAAAAATGGAAACAAAAATAGGTAACATCTATTGTGAGAGAGCGTGCAGATAGCAGAGAGCGTGCAGATCACACCACCACCCAGCACAGATCAGCTCCCTAGCCAAGACACTCATCTCCAGAACAAAACGCTTAGCTGATGAACAACACCTAAAAACCGAACTACACACTCTCACTAATGTACTAACATCCAATGGATTCCAAAAAAATAAGATTACCAAACTAATCCAAAAAGAAACCCCCACTAAAATCCAAGACAGAGAACAAGAAAATGGCAAAGCCCTCCTCCCATACATAAAAGGCACCACAGACAGAATCAGCAAGATCCTCAACAAACACAACATCAAGACAGCATTCTGCACAAACAGAAAAATATCCACCATCCTAAGAAACCCCAAAGACAAAATTGAGTTAGAAAATCAAGGAGTATATGAAATCCCATGCACCGCTTATCCCACTACATACATGGGACAAACCAACAGAAGAATAAGTGCACGCATTGAAGAACATAAGAACTCAGTCAAAAAAGAGGAACCAACTTCTTCCCTGATCCAACACCTTAAAGCCACAGGACATGAAATTGACTTTAAAAAGACCAGAACTATCGCCAAAACTGAACACTTTAATAACAGAAGAATCAGAGAAGCCATCGAGATAGAAAAACGCCCACACAGCATGAATAAACGAGATGATACCTCCCACCTACCAGCCATTTGGAAACCTGCCCTTATTGACAAACGAATCCCTAACACAAAGAATGACACCAGACCCATACTCAGGAAAGCCACACAGGATGTCACCACCACACATCCACGCAAAAAGCAAACCCAAACCCACACCGATGATGAGGCATGACCACAAACCAGAAGCCAGACCACAGCTGCATCATTAGCCACTTTAAACCCCTCCAATCCATACATGAAGCAAACTGACACACACCATGAAGATGAGGCACGACCACGAACGCGAAGCCAAACAACAGCAATGCAGCTCACCATCTCACATCCCCCTACAACTCAGACTAACCCGAGCACAACAAAGCCCCCACCCAAACAGAACACTCCCCCATCCAATCAGAGCACAGCCAACCCCCCATCCAATCAGAGCACAGCCAAGCCCCTAACCAATCAGAACACACCTCCACCCAATCAGAACACAGCCAGGCTCCCATCCAATCAGTTCATACCCCCACTAGCAGTTAAAAGGAAGAAACAGCTACGATCACACATTGCTCCTAGAAGCAAGAAGCCGAAAACACCAGCCTGAAGATGACGAATGGGACTTCGTCGAAACATCTCCAAGACACTTCCAATTTGACGCGGGAGAAAACCCGAATAACCAAAGGCCTACATACAAACACCCGCAAAACCTCAGAAAACACACACACACACACACACACACACACACATCACATTCCCCTTCATTACATGTCTAAGCCATTTTAGAAACTTGCCACCTTCTCTTAAAATATAACAAATGATCTCTTCTTCCCATGTCCCCTTATCTGTAAACAAATAATATCCTAGAATTTGAGTTTTTTTTTTCATTTTTTTTCTTGTTCCTTCTCACTAAATCCTTTAAAGCTTTGACAAGTCTCTTTTGTAAATCCAATATAGGAAAGTTATTCAAGTCACTCTTTTGATTTGTTATTTTCTATCTTCCTTTTAATTATTGGACGTCAGCCAATTTCATTTATGTGTCCATTGTGGTATGTTTTTCTATATCATTGTAGCCTGTCATTTTTAAATCAACTTTCAGATCATTCTCACTTTTATCCAGTAAAACCTGTTCCTCTTTAATAACACCTTTTAAATACTGTCTTCTATAGAATCAGACACTCTTAAAATTAACTTCTGTGTCCATTGTTCAAAAATACGCTTTAATATGTCCAGTGTTAAAATATTATGCTCCATTCTGTATTAGTAAGTTCAATATAAGTGTTCTCCTCGAATTATAATTCTGTTTTATTTGCAATAGTTTTAATTGTAATTCTGTTTTAATTCTGTTTCTGAACTGTAATTTCAAATTTGTTATTCATTTAATGATACTTGAAAGAAAAGCATTTTTCCATGGGAAGGATTAGTCCATTTGTAACTTTTCAAAATCCAAGTTCTAAATACCCTTTTCGCTGTGTATTTCAAAATTTTTTTATAAGTCATTAAACTTGTATTTAAAACTTCTTTCACTAAGGATTAAAGGAAATTGCCCTTGTCCTGAAAAACTTGTCTATTCAAAGGTTCCTAATAGCTGCAAAGCAGTTAACAAGCAATTTCTGAAAGCAGTTAGAAAACAGTTGTGTCCTTTTGAGGGTGTCAACTAAGTTTGAGCAGAAAGATTGTCTTCCAGAGCAATAAACTTCTAATCCTGCTGGAGACTGCTGTCTTGTGGTGTCTTCATAAGGAGCAATTGCCTGGAGAACTTATGGACAATCTCAGTTCCTCTCTTTGTCCAGTTCTTCATTCTGCTGCAGTCATCGACTCCATTAAAATCTGAGCCTTCCTCAGTTCACCATTTCTTTCTCCCAAAATTCTCCCCAATTTTTTTTTTCTTTTTCAGTTTCACTGTTTTTTAAACTGTATGCCACCAGAGTGGTTCTGAAGACACCCCAGCTTCTAATATTAATGTAATTTGTTTGATATTATCTTAGTGTGATATATGAATTTAGGCAATACAATTGCAAAATTTGATTTATGGCTTAATATTATATATGAAGCAGGCCATCATCATAATTTGGTGATTTGACTGCCAAATTATGATTAAAATAAACAGTGAAAAGTGAAACCAACTACTGCAAATACAGGTAGTCCTCGAGTTATGAATATAATGAGCCTGCCAATTACATTCATAACCTGAGGATTTGTGGGAGTGAATCACGTAAAGTAAACGTGAAAACTCCCTGCTTTCGCCCACACATTCACTAATTGAATGCATGAGTTCTTAAGTCCTCAGGGCGGAGAAGGCCATGGAGGGGCCTAGTGATGGAACAGGTCACCCAAGGACTCCCCCAACCCATTGAAATACCTTATCCTTCCCACAATTGCTTCCCCCTCCATCCTGCTGTGCCAGGTCTAGTGAGCTGTCTCCTCTCTACTGTGTTTTGCCTGCCCCTGGCGCTCCAAAAGGGGAACAGAATGAGCGCTCTCTTCTCTTCTCAGCTTGCAATCTCCCTCTAGGTCAGTGGTGGCAAACCTATGGCACGCGTGCCAGAGGCGGCACTCAGA